CTTTAGTCCTTCCGCTGTGTTGATAAACACCCAAATCAAAGGTTTACCATGTAGCTCTTTATAATCTGGGATGCCTGTGACTTTCTAAGAACATAATCTTCGTTTCAAAACAATCACAGCATAATATATCCAAAATTCTTCATAAATAGATCAATTCAAAATCTGGGGGATGTAACTTAGCAGTATATTAATACAGTGTTTCTCTGCATTCGCTGGCTGGGGAATTCTGGGAGGTGAAGGCCAGACATCTTCAAGTTGCCAAGGTTGAGAAACACTGTATTAGTATGCTGCTAAGTTACATCCCCCAAATTTTGAATTGATCTATTTATGAAGAATTTTGGATATATTATGCTTTGATTGTTTTGAAAAGAAGATTATGTTCTTAGAAAGTCACTGGCATCCCAGATTATAAAGAGCTACATGGTAAACCTTTGATTTGGGTGTTTATCAACACAGCGGAAGGAATAAAGTATATGAGTCTCTGTCAAACTTCTAACTTAAAATTTGAGGAGCTTTAAATACAGGAAACAAACGATACATTTATTTCATTAGTTTGCCCACTTTTTTCTTTTTCATCCTTTCCCTCTCTTTTTTGTACAGCATTTTTATACTTCATTTTCTTTTGGTGTATTTAAGCAATAAAAATAAAGTTAGAAGGGAAAAAGGCTCCTGCTGAAGGTACTTATCAGGATATATTCATTTTATTTCTAGGGTGCAGCATGGGAAAAAATTGCAGACATTAAATTAAATTTGACCATAGGTTAATACTGATTGGAGCTTTCCCAAAGCTTACAGAATAGAACAGATCTCCAGTAATTCATTCGTATATTTGAAAACCTTTTTTGTCTCCTCCTTAGGCAAAATATGTTTGTCTTTATTCAAGCAGATAAAGAGTTCATTGGCTAACGTTTTTCCTTTTAATTTCTTTTACATAGAAAAAAGTGTCGGTATGTTGCCTGCAATAAAGGTTTGTCTAGAACTTGATGGAGATTCTTCCACAACATCAACAATTTTACCAGAGAAATTGTCGTCATCACTAGAGAGAATACTTGGTTTTCGTTACCCTAAAATACAGGAAGCCCTGCTTACACTTTTGGAAAATGAAAATTTGTTTCAAACAAATGTACAGTTGACTCAAGGTTACTGCTTAGGTATGAAATATCACAATGTTATTATTGTTCAATATGGAGCATTTTGCTGTAAAGCCTTACCTATTGCTACTCAAAGCATTTACTGAGCCTTACCTATTGCTACTCAAAGCATTTACTGAGCCTTACCTATTGCTACTCAAAGCATTTACTGAGCCTTACCTATTGCTACTCAAAGCATTTACTGATTTTTATACATATAAAACC